TCTTCAAAATCATAAAATTTATGATAGATTTCAGTGTTTACTTCATCATCTTTTATCCTTATTGGCTGGCCAGCTTATTGAGGGATAGAATAGAGGATTTTGCTCATTTAATGTAGATATGACGGTCATTACAACGAAAAATTTAGGCCTAGATATATAGCTTTTATGTGTAATTAAATTGATTTTATATCAATTGCGTATATTAAAAATAATCTTATATAATTTAAAAGTTATATATATATAAACCTATAAAAATAGTACTTTATTATACAGTAATAAAGTTATTCATAATAGTAACATTTTTGTCTTTAAAGAAAGTTTTTTGTAAACTTTTGAGACACCAATTGGAACGTTGTTGTCAGTGTCGGGAAGTATTAATTACTATTAAATTCGTTTAAACGATCAAACGTTGACAAACAACGTCGGTGTCTTTTTTTGTTAGAGAGCATGTAAACAACTCTATAAACCATTTACGTGTAAGAATGAATTGGTCCGTCGGCATCTTTGTCTTTAGGATCCGCCCGAGACAAACAACTAAACTTCCACCACGCTATGGGATACTGACCTATTGGTTGGTCGGGAGAAAAAGGAATTGCGAGAAGAGACGATATAAAGCGAGATGATGATAAAAGAACTCTTTCGAATGATTAGCTGTATAGGGTCTACGCATAATATTGTAAATAGTTTACTATTTAAAAGTATAAACTCTTGGTTCAGTTGATATTGTCTTCTTTGCTAAGAAATGGAGATACGAAGACCTAACTCTTTAGAGAAGAGGACCAAGATAGAAAATGCAAAGTCAACGGATCGACTTTCGAACTCTTGAGAAAGACGAGGTAGAGACATGGTCGGAGAAACCGCAGGAAGAATTTTGCGGGAAAACAATCTCATTAGTAAACGATTTATTTGCACGGTCCGAACTTGAGTGTTGTCTTGTTTAAGTATCTAGTTAAGTTCTTCAGTTAATTCCGCTCTAGAAAATAGATTACATTCTAAAGTTACTTGGTAATTTTCTGCATGTTTACATCTATTTAAAAACACTAAATTAACAGTTCCATTAAATCCGCATCATCTCCATACCATAAGCGATCCACCGCCAAGTTTATGACTGTGGAATGATCTTTGCTATTTTCTAATATTACGCTAATAATAATTCCATATTCACAAAAACATTTATGTTTCCATTCTCATTTTGCTTAACAATGTTCTCACGTTAGAAGAGACATGCTGTAGTACATTTTTGGTTAGTTGTTTATTGGAACAAGAGCCATACAGGCTATGCTACACCATGACTGTCCTTCCTTAATTTTCGAGAAAGGAGTTATATAGATAAAAGACAAGACAGATATGAAAACCTTAGCGACAGAAGTCCCAACTAACTACATAATAACTTTCGATGAAAACCAGAAGTCACGTTATTTCAATTCGAAACTTTTTCCCTGAAAGGTGTAGATACGACTCTTATTGTTAAAGGAAAAGTATGATGTACAGAAGCAAGCCACTACTAATTTGAAATGAAGAACATATATTTTAATTTAAATAAATTAAAAATATGATTAAAAATTCCAGTTCGTCATTGTGACGATGCCACAATAAATAAATGCTTGTTAGAGTTATATTTATGTTTTTAATAACATGTATTATATTTAACGTAATAAACAGAGATTTGTACTATTTCTATACATTAAAACTATTTTGTTTTTGCTTTGTCTTACTTTCAAAATGTCAAAATAGATTGTTTAAACTTTAACCGTACATGTTCTTCTCGAGTGCGTTAAAATATTCGAATGGCTTTTAGTTCTAACAAAAAGATATTGTAAAGAAAAATATTGAAAATGCGATTATGGTAATTAGTAACTGAAATAAAGTTTTATAGTGACACATTTTGTTAAACAAATTTCAGTTTTTTTTATGTTTACTCCCTATTTTGTTGTTACAAGATTCTGTATTTCTAGTATTACTTTTTCTATGCTGTTTAGAACATTATCATCTCTTACATTATTATATTAAAACTGGGGGCTTCACCCATTTGTTCCCAATATAGACTATTCATAACAAAAAATTTCAATAAGTGTACCTTTATCTGTCTAATTCCGTGTGAAGATTCAGTAATGAAAACAGTTCAGATCCGTTTCGAATTTCAGCTCCAAACTCAAATTGATTGGAAAAATATAGTTTTTATTTAAATCTCATTTAAAAAGCTTTTAGATTTTCTCTATCAAAATCAAACATAAAACGACCTTCGATTCCAAAACAAAAATAAAAGCATTCTCTTTCGAATCGGTTGAACGTAACAATATTTTTGGACGTTCCACAGAAAAACGTTCCAATTTTATGGTTACGTAATTCAGCTGCTGCCCCACGAATTTAGCACTTCTTTCCAATAAAGAGTATTCATAAAAGTTCATGACGATTCAGCCCCACGCGAGGGACCTACTCTCTTCGGACCAACATCTCTTTCTTCCATCCTCATCATTTCGCTTTCTACTCGCTTCGCTAACTACGATCCTCTCTCGTCTCAACCTCCTACTACTGCTGTTTCGTTTTCTTCGTGGGTCAACCCCCTACCTCGGTTGTTTCTGTTCCTCTTGGGCCAACTTCTTTCGTTTCGCTTCCTTCTCGGGCCACTTCACTCTTTTCTTCCCTTAACTCCCCGCTCACTTCGCTTATTTGTTCAAAAATTTCGTGACGATTCGTCGATGCCCAGTGTCGTCGTGACGATTTTAAGCTTAATATTTTATTTATAGAGAAAATATTATATATATAGAATAGATTGGAAGATTTTTTGAAAAGCTTTAACGATCTTTTTAATTATTTTTTCTAATATTTCTTGTACTAAATCGGTTGCTGTTAGAGTTGTGTCATTAATATAATGAAATACTCGTGTATATCATATTAATTTTAAGGATTTTTTAAAATATAATTGATAATTTCATTTTGGCAAAGACGATAACTCGAAAGTATTTTGTTCTTTATCTTGTTTGTGTATCAAAAAACAAATTTAGTAGCAAAGAATTTCATTGGATATTAGTGTGTGTTTGTTGCACGATTTTGTTTCCCCTTTTTGAAGCTTAGTAACTCCTGAACTTTTTGTCGAAATTTTCTGAAATTTTGCAAGCAGGTTTGTGTATTAGGGTGATTGATGCTATTAAATTTTGTTGGTTAAAGGTGTGGGAGTGATGAGATAAAGAACGACTGTGTCATATCTCGAGTAGGGTCTGACTTAATGAAAATTTTACTCGTTATTAGCATTTACAATTTTTTTTTTTATAAAACCCACCTTTACTTTTAAAACTAAGTACTGTATTTTGCCATTTTATAGTAATTAAAAATGTAAAAAATTTTAAAAAATAAAATATCATAACAGATGGCACCAACAAATGTTGTCGAGAAAGTTAAGTAACTCGATGCTGGAATGTTTTATTCACTGAATTACTGTGACAATGATATAGAGCGAAATAGAGGCGCCATTACGCCATTATTGCGACAGGTAACATATAGCATTTGCTTGCTGTTAGCAACGGAGTCGTATCGGTCATCTATCCAACTCTGTTCGGGAGTAAATTTTGAATCGAAGTAATGGTACTTTCGTTTTTAAACCGGATTTTCGTATAGTTAATCTGGGTCTCCTGCCCTAAGCTATACACATCTGGTCTCAACTATCATCTATCTAACTCCTTTCTTGAGAATAAGGAAAGACAGCCATACAGACAGACAGAAGACGACAGTCTGACTTTATAGGTCTATAATTTGTTTCAAATTGCAGTCAAATAATTTTTCTATAAACATTCTATTTACAAAGACATACTCCCCACGTAGTTTATACAATCTGTTGCCAAAATTTAAACACTATTATCATATAAAAGCAATTATTCTAGCATTTATTTAAACAAGTCATATGAAGTCTTTTGGACGTTAAATTTAGCAACTTCCATTACGTGCGAGGCCATTACAACCTATCCAATATGGATTACTTTTCAAATACTAATAGTAGAACAGAATTAATTAGTAGTCGTTGAGCATCCTCTCTTCCGGGAGGAGGTCAACGACTACTTTTGTTTGAATTACATCAACCACCTTCCGTAACATTCCCTTCTCCTATCGGATCCACCGATATGGTTGCATTCGAATAGAAAAATTACATAATATAAGGTTACCGGAGAACACAAAAGATGATTTACATGGTTTTCGAGGGTACCGAGTTGTTGATCCGTTTTTTTCCCTCCCCTCCGTCGATGGAATCTCTTAATTTTAGGTTATGGAGATATAGCACACATTTCAGGATTATATTTTATATTTTCACAACTCAGCTTACTCTTGTGTAAAATCTATAGCATAGTACAAGTATGGATGAGGAACAATAACAGTGAAAAAAACAATATTACTTTCATAAGGCAATATTCATAACAATATTTACTTAATTAAACTGCTATGGCACAGACAACGCTCACATCACGCAAAAGACAAATTTACATCGTAAATTAATTTAAAATTGAAACAAATTAAGAAATAAAATAAAATAAAAAGCCTACATTGCCACCTTTCTCGCTTTTGCGCTTGCAAATGTTGTTATTAAATCAGAATAATTTAATTCCTGGGCAATAGTATTTTCGATAGATAAAATTGCTAGATATGACACTCTATCCCGACACATGGTTGAACGTAAATAAGTTTGAATAAGTTTTAATTTACTGAAACTTCCTTCTCTTTTAGCGACAGTTACAGGCATGATCAGCAAAATTCGAAGTGCTGTCCACACATTCGGGAATATATAAAAGTTCTTCAACTTATTAAACAAAATAATTGACTCCTGCTAATTATTTTGTTGGTTCTGATGATTCGAGCTCTTTCAACAATGGGTTCGGGTGTAAAAGTTCCTCAACCAATTCACAACCAGATATGTCACATTTTTCTCCATCGATTAAACTTATTTCTAAAATTGCACAGGCTTATTCCAATTTTGACTTTTCATGAATTGTTTTGATGTTGTATAAAAAGGATCATGTATCATTAAATTTGAATAGTTGTGTAAATCGAGTGACCAACGCATTCTCAATTGTATCGATCATAGGGTAAAAGACGTTTATTTTAAACAATTCTTCAGGATCTGTTGGTGTCGCACCTACGGCCTCGTATTTAAATAATCTCTTCTTTTTTCGGGATCGGATTGACTTAAAAATAAGACGTATCCTAGCCTGAAAAGCGATTTCCCTAGCTGTTATTACAGCAGATGAATAACGCCGGTACTCTTTTACAAATTCATAGCAGTTCTTCAGCAATTGCGTAGCGTTTGGTAAATCCATAGTTTCAGACTGCATAGCCTTGCTTAAAATGTTTACTTGAAACAATATATCATACCAAGCCACTATTGTTACTATAAACTCAAATTGCTCCATGATCTGAATCAGGGATAAGGCCTCTGATGCTGCAACTGGGTTATTCGTTTCTTCCTGAAGGGCATCATGAACTGAAGAGTAGTGATAACGAACTGCAGCGAAGCTAGAAAGTCTACTCTCCCAACGAGTTTCACGAACTTTTTTCAGCGATAGTCCTTGTATGTGGTTGGATATCACTTTTTCGGACATTTAATATACAGTACAATAATTTCGCGACAATAGTACGTGTACAGAACTAATTCGTACTCACTAACTTATAACCAAAGAGGGTAGACGATTATATGAGAAGGTAGATGGAAAAAGGGAAAGATCAAAATACCCGGGATTCTCTTTATTTCGTGAACACTGGATGGGCACCACCTCGGATTCTGCAGATACACCAGATGTGATTTTTCTTCCCTTTCTTTATAATCGGGACTTCTGTCCAACGTTGACTCTGGAGTTTTCTATTTTTCTAACGTAACCAAAATGTCCTTCCTTCGGAATTATTCAGTCTCAAGTAGCCCCTAGTCGCCTACTCGCGATCTGGAGTGCTCTTCTCTTCACGTCTTACTCCCACGAAGGTCCAGTCAAGACTAACCCGTTTTTTTTTTGTCTTATCGGCCCTCGGGCCTTAACTCACCCATTGTCTTATGTTCTTGGAACAGGTGGTTCATTTCGTCAGTTCTTGAGATTTGTGGTCCCACCCAAAAGGAAGAAAGGAAATGAAAAGAAAGGTATAGAAAGGCGGAGAACAAAAGGGAATAAGGAAATAAATGTATAAATATTGGTTTCTTTAATCTTGGTATTTATTTTGGCGGGTACGGTTAAGTAGTAATAAAGTGATCGGGTTTTAATTTTTTCGCAGACAATCTATCGTTGCATTTTCGGCGCCCCCACTTTGATGGCGCCCGGTGCGGTCGCACCGTTCGCACCGCCCTAGGGTCGCCCCTAATTCGAGTATGGCGATGAACGTGACAATGGTTGGCTGAATAACAAACTCTTTATATGGTTTTCGTTTTAATAATCGTTATAATATAGTATTTGATTTATATAGCTACAAAGGTTATCTTGCATAAGGGTTTATCACACCGAGTGACTTAAAAATTCTACTAAACATCTCTACTAAACACAATTTAAAGAATTTTTTAAAATGTGTTTAGATTGGTTCTTACGTATGATAACCTTTGTAAGTAGCGGCTTAATGGCTGAGCGGTCAAGGTGGCAGCCTACCGCTCTCGGGGACCCGGGTTCAAATCCAAACGGGTCGAAAAATCCCCAGGAATCTTTCGGTGGGTGGTCCGTTCGGATGTCGGGCCCCGTCCCTCATCACCCGGCAGCCCCATTGTGGGCCAGGCCGAACCCACAATGGGCTTGCAAAAAGAGGCCCTCTTAGTGCCCACAGGGCGGAAAGAGTAGAAAAAACCTTTGTAAATATAAAACAAATACTATAATATAATAGAAGGGTTAGAAATACAAAATAATCTTAATATTTGATATTGTTATTTTTTGCCCGACAACTTTAGGCTCATCTGTTAATTATATAATAAAATCGGAAGATTAAATGAATTAACTAGAAAGTCGAGAATTAAGATATAAATATTTTAAGTTGAATGAAATTTGTAATGAAATTTATGACAATGAAAGAAATTTTTGATATGATTGGTTTTTTAAATAAAATTAATTAACATGAAATGACAAATACTAGAAATTAGTCGCTATTATTTTAATTATACGTCAAAATTTTAATTAAAATTTAAAAAAATGTAGAAATGTGGAGAATGATTTATTTATACAAAGCTGAATTCCTGAAGATTACAAACACTTGTGATACAACACTGATTATTTACCAATTCTTTCTTCGTATGTTGTTGTAAAACAACAAAATTGGAATAAAAATCCAAGAGCTGTTTTAGAAAAAACCGATACTATCTAATCTAATATTATGATAAGAAATTTGTGTTTTTTCAAGTCATTAATAAATTATAAATAAACATATACCATCTGACAGTTGAATGTTTAGAGTTCTTTTCTTAAAGGTTCCTTTTCTTAATATTGATAACTGAAGAACAATATCTGATGTAGATAATTCTGCTTTCGAATTGAACACGAAAATATTTCCCTTATTTACTAACATTTCATTGAATTACATGCTTATCTTTAAATTTGAATATGGTGAGACATATAGAAGTACTGTACTATACATTCCACCACCAGCCATTAAGAAAAATAGTAAAATATAATTATTTAAACATTTTTTTTTAACTTAGTGAATTATCCAAAATGATTTATGAATTATATAATTACAAAATATATATTTAAATTATAGACTTAATATATAGAATGTTATTTAATTACCTGTTTGTATAGGATGGATCAAAAGTCAGTTAACCTATTATATGTTATTATTGAAATAATAACATTCACAACTGTTTAAAATCGGTTTTAATTGCTTTTAAACTGACTTTAGAATATATTTTAGTTAACTGACTTTATGCTAATTAAACAAATAACAGTCTACACAAGGTTACGGTATTCAAAATTATATGTAGAGGACTAAATTTAATTTCTATTCCAGCAGTAAATATATATATTTTTACTTTATATTTACTCTTTCATTGATAAAATCGTAGATTTAATCTAACTTTTGAACTTATTGATTTATCTATACCTAACATTTTTTCCCTTAAATTAATTAAAATTTTATTTAAAAAAAAACAGTAAGTGAAATCTATAAAAACTGTATTTCATTTGTTATTTTTTTTAATAAATGAAAATCAATTTTAATTACTTTTACTATTCTTTCTCTCATTGATTACTTTTAATTTCGATATCTAATTATCTTGAAAAAACATTAAAATATTGACCATAAGTATGGATTAAAAAATAGATTAGATATAAAGAAGAGATAACATATAATAAAAATCTATAAAAAAAATAGACATTTGCATTATATAATAGTATATAAAAATATTAAAATAATTATATTTAATCTATATATTTACTATTTTAAGTTCTCTGTATTTAATACGGGTATTAATACGCTAAAAATAAATAAATTATATATGATTATAACAGAAAATATTTATTTAAAAAAAGAGTAGAAAATATAACAGTAATTTAACTTACGAAATAAAATAAAATTGAGAAAATAAAACGCTTCCTAACATAAAAAGAATCTGGTGTGACTACAATACAACTTTCTCTATTATAGTTGTGTAAATGCCACGCAACGTGACCTACTACATGTAATACGTGAATAAGACAAAACATATAACGAGAAACATCGATAAATTTCCGTTTCCGGTATTGGATCGTTCTGAAAATCGATACATGTCATCACGTGAAAATAAAGAATTTTCGATATTACATATTTTCCTATTTAAATTGGTTTCTAGTTATAGAGAATGCATTAAATTTTATCACTTACTTACATCATTACTACTTGATATTTTAAAATTCATATTTTATTCAACGTTTAAATATCTAGTTTACTAGTAAAATAATACTCGAGAAAAAAATATAATATATATATTTTATGTAGAAATTAAGACATTTATTATTATAATTCGAAAATTATAGATTAAATTTGATGAAATACCGAACATACTTTATAAGAATACAAATTTCATCTAAATCACTGCATATTGTAAAAAAATTAATGGTTTTAATGTTTTATTTACGTGTGTATATACTTGAGGTATATGAATTTAAAAACATAATCCAGAAAATTAATGCATATTAATGTAACTTTATTCACATTTACATACAAATCCACATAAATTTGATTAATAAAAATAGTAAAAGAAATCATTAAATTACGAATTTATGTTATTATTTATGTTTAAAAAAATCATAATTTTTATATAGTTGAATAATATATATATATATAAGTATTTNTCAAATTAAGAGTGTTTTTAATTGAACAATCCTTAAAATGATATTAAATATGAAGTCATTGCTATAAAAATACTTATATTTTAATAAAAAGTTAACTAGAATCATTAAGAAGAATGCTTTCTTTCTATAAAAGTTTTCCTTTGTTTTTTTTTCCTCTCACATAGTGTATAAAACAAATGATTATCCTTCTAGAAGAGAAGAAAGAAAAAAGAACTTCTAAGCTGTTTGAAACTATGCACTTTCAAAGTCTTTAATTCCATTTATTTGGTTTTATTCTTTATTAGTAATCCTGAAAAATCTTTCTATTTTTTTTTTTTTTTTTTTTTTTTTTTTTTTTTTTTTTTTTTTTTTTTTTTTTTTTTTTTTTTTTTTTTTTTTTTTTTTTTTTTTTTTTTTTTTTTTTTTTTTTTTTTTTTTTTTTTTTTTTTTTTTTTTTTTTTTTTTTTTTTTTTTTTTTTTTTTTTTTTTTTTTTTTTTTTTTTTTTTTTTTTTTTTTTTTTTTTTTTTTTTTTTTTTTTTTTTTTTTTTTTTTTTTTTTTTTTTTTTTTTTTTTTTTTTTTTTTTTTTTTTTTTTTTTTTTTTTTTTTTTTTTTTTTTTTTTTTTTTTTTTTTTTTTTTTTTTTTTTTTTTTTTTTTTTTTTTTTTTTTTTTTTTTTTTTTTTTTTTTTTTTTTTTTTTTTTTTTTTTTTTTTTTTTTTTTTTTTTTTTTTTTTTTTTTTTTTTTTTTTTTTTTTTTTTTTTTTTTTTTTTTTTTTTTTTTTTTTTTTTTTTTTTTTTTTTTTTTTTTTTTTTTTTTTTTTTTTTTTTTTTTTTTTTTTTTTTTTTTTTTTTTTTTTTTTTTTTTTTTTTTTTTTTTTTTTTTTTTTTTTTTTTTTTTTTTTTTTTTTTTTTTTTTTTTTTTTTTTTTTTTTTTTTTTTTTTTTTTTTTTTTTTTTTTTTTTTTTTTTTTTTTTTTTTTTTTTTTTTTTTTTTTTTTTTTTTTTTTTTTTTTTTTTTTTTTTTTTTTTTTTTTTTTTTTTTTTTTTTTTTTTTTTTTTTTTTTTTTTTTTTTTTTTTTTTTTTTTTTTTTTTTTTTTTTTTTTTTTTTTTTTTTTTTTTTTTTTTTTTTTTTTTTTTTTTTTTTTTTTTTTTTTTTTTTTTTTTTTTTTTTTTTTTTTTTTTTTTTTTTTTTTTTTTTTTTTTTTTTTTTTTTTTTTTTTTTTTTTTTTTTTTTTTTTTTTTTTTTTTTTTTTTTTTTTTTTTTTTTTTTTTTTTTTTTTTTTTTTTTTTTTTTTTTTTTTTTTTTTTTTTTTTTTTTTTTTTTTTTTTTTTTTTTTTTTTTTTTTTTTTTTTTTTTTTTTTTTTTTTTTTTTTTTTTTTTTTTTTTTTTTTTTTTTTTTTTTTTTTTTTTTTTTTTTTTTTTTTTTTTTTTTTTTTTTTTTTTTTTTTTTTTTTTTTTTTTTTTTTTTTTTTTTTTTTTTTTTTTTTTTTTTTTTTTTTTTTTTTTTTTTTTTTTTTTTTTTTTTTTTTTTNTTTTTTTTTTTTTTTTTTTTTTTTTTTTTTTTTTTTTTTTTTTTTTTTTTTTTTTTTTTTTTTTTTTTTTTTTTGAGAAAATTTGAATTTAATAAAAATATAAAATTACAAATATAATTATGGTTGAAAATAACAGTAAAAATATTTGAAGTAATTATGTAATAATAAGATGCTGTAAATTACAGTTAAATCAATATAAAGGCAATAATTATTTTATTTATCAGTAAATAAATTAAAAATTTTTAAATTTAAATAATTTTTAAATTAAATTAATTACGTTTAAAATTAATAGAGCTAAATGAATGTAATCGGAAATTAATAGAATGTTATTATATTCGTTTGAATAATTCATCACTATAATTATTTCATTTTTAATTTTGGTCTTTATTAAAATTTATCTTGGTTTACTTTAATATATTTTTGAAATTAATTGCATAAAATCCAATTAAAATTATTGTGTATAATATCTTAATAAGAGTAATTTTCTTTCAAAGAAAAATCAGCGTGATTAATATTTATTTTTGATCGAATTTAAGTGTAGCCCACTATTTTTTCCTGATAATACTTTCTTTTTAGTATTTTTCTGAAGTGTAGCTTACAATTATTTGACTTATTATATTAAAAAAATAATTGATACAATATATCTAAAAGTTTACTGAACTATATCGTAATCGAAATGGATATACAATCGCAAGTGTAGTTAAAATATTAAACAAATACAAGATGAGTGAAAGTATTATCAAATTTATATTCATTAATAATGAATAAATTATTGATATTAGATGAAAGTAACATTTAGATCGATATATTTCTATTCAATACACAGAAAGATAAAAGGCAGAGAAAATTAATGTTTAATTAAACAATACCTTTTATTCGGTTAAATCATTCATAACAAATACTGAATACTTGTCTGGAATTTGAAGTTTTCTGCCCTTTCATACCAAGAGATCGATGCCAGTCTTATCAAGACAAATTCACATCTGGATTGATAAACACGTATTGATTTGTATATTAAATCTGTATATTTTGATTTAAAATATGTTCCCAGAAATATATTTTCTTAGAAATGAAACCGAGATAAAAAAGTTATTTCTGTACTTTCGATTATAATTTCTAGCGAATACAGTCGACCCCCTATAACACTGTTGATTATTCCATTTTATATGAATTTCATGTTGTACGAGTCACTTACATTTTACAAATACGTATCCCGGCCGTGAACGGCTCACGTGTTTGTAAAATCTAAGTGACTCGTACAACATGGAATTCATATAAAACGGAATAATCAACACAGTGTTATAGGAGAGTCGACTGTATGTGTAAAAGAGGAAATTAGTTATACAAATTCGTGCTGTGTTGTAAACAAATAATTGTTAGTAAGATATAAGTAAATATGTTCAATGCTTAATGTACTATTGTAAAGTTTTAAACGTAGGCATAAAGAATTCAAGGTAGAATTATGAAGTATAACCTGAAAATTTCGTATAATAAACTGTATTTTAACAATTGTTATTATTTTACCTGGTTTTTGTTTAGTTACGGCAACGCAACACTTGGATGATCTGACTAGGGAGGATGACTTTCGGGAAATCTTTCTAAGAATAATTGGCTTTTATTCAGGCATTACAGACGTGCAGAAAAACCGAAAAACAACACGTGTCTAGCCCGTCCTGGCGAGGCAGGAACAATCGCATAGTGTTCGGGGAACGAAACCGCTCGGCCACAGGTGAGCCTTTCACCTTATAGTTCGTTGTTTTTCATCCGAGCTTATACCCTGTCAAGTTAAATGCTGTATCTTAATAATCAGTTTTAAATATTACAATAAATAGTAAGAAGTGTTATAAAATTTATAATTTCTAATCAATAAATAATTATAAATTTTTAAAAACGAACACTTTTTTTTATTTTCCTTAAGTATTGCTTAACTAAAATTATTGCGTTACAATTGTGAAATAATATAAAACAGATAACGATATTGTATAGATTAATTATTGTCAATATAAATTAATCAATTATTTAATAAAATATAGTTAATTTTTAACNATATTATTGATATAATTATCTACTTAATTTATTTATTAATATAAAACTAATTCATTTTTCATATTTATATTATAAAGAATTTATTTTGTTATACATCATCACGATAAGTTCAATTCTGTTTAAACTTTTAATTACAATGGCTTGATTCTGTAATAAAGTTTCAATAGAATAATTTTGAAAAGATATCCAATAAAATAATCATTTAAGCAATTAACTATAATTGCTCATTAAAGTTAGCATTGAGTGTAAAGAATATCCGTTCTTAATAATAAATATTTAATAGGTAATACTTAATACTATATCTTGATTATCTTGGCAATTAACTATCTCTTGCTGTATTTAAATGTAAATAAGTTTCCCCTGTACTTAAATGTGGAATTTGCGTGATAATTTTAGTTGCTTACTGAAAATGATAAATGTGTTTTAAGAATTTCATGTCATATTACTAATAGACAAAATATATTACTTAAACAGTATATAAACTCTATAACCTTTACCTAATATATACAGCTATGAATTTTATATTTAATTTAAAATATATGTTCTCCATCTCAAATTAGTATTGTGTTTTGTGGGGTAATGTTTGAATTGAAATCACATGACTACTGGTTTAGGTTGAAAGTTTCCATATTAAGTTAAGGTCTCCTATCCCTAAGTTTTCCACATCCTGTCTTGACCTTCATATATCTAACACCATTCTCGGGAATAAGGAAGGATAGACAACAGACAGTGGAAATCTATCAATCTTCAAAATTTTCAAATTTTACCCCTATAAGAAGTCTCTCTAAGACTACCATTACATTTTACTTAAACTCTCTTATATAGGTGAAAAATTTCCTATATCAATAAAGAATAGATTGATTGATAATTATCTTCAATTATTTTAAGTAATTTAATAATGCACTTCTTTTAGAGGGAAGGAAAAAGGAAGAAAAAAGAAAATTAATGGTTCTCAGCAGATAATTTCCAAGAATGTTCATGAGAGGTAATTACTAAAGCTTTTAACTGGTACTCCAATTACTTTAGTTCCTATAGGTTAAAGATTTATATACTGAAATATAATTACAAATAAAATAAAGGTTTTCTCCTGTTGACGCTGCTTATCTTCGAATTTTTAAAATAAGTATAAATTGAATACAGGGAAAAAAATTCATTTAAAAATAAAAAAAATCGATTATATAAAAAGTGTTATTTTATTTTTATTTAAAGTTTACTTAAATATATTAAAAATGAAAAATTTTTTTTTCGTAAATAGAGAAAAAGTTACTTCTTTTCATATGAAAAGATACGAAACATTATCCCTTAGGATTGAAGTACAGATGATAAAATATTTCAACCCATTCAGAATATGAATTCTTTTTCCATATTAAAGAAAAAAAAAGGATATTTTTTCTTCTTTTTCTTTCAAAAAATTTTTTTAAAAAACTTATTTTACATTTTTTATTACTTAAAAAAATAAGGGAAAAAATGGTTCACGAATTTAAGTTTAAACTCAAACAATTCATAAAAGTTGTTATTAAAATAATTTAATAATTGTTTATAAATAATCTACGTTCATTTAATTTTATTTGTAGAAATCGATAATTCGTAAAGTTATCTTATAATTCTAAATTTTGAAGTAACATTAATTAGTTTCGTTACTTAATAATGTTAATTTTCATATAATAATAATAATAATAATACGAACTTTCTGAATAACCAAAGTTTAAAATTAAGTATTAAATAGTTTTTTGGTTTATTATTAATTAATTTCGATCAAATGTGACCTTTTTATATGTAGGAAATTGTTAAGAATTAAAAAAAAACAGTAGATATAAGTGAACGATTTTTTTAAAGAAGAAACAATATATTCACTTTTTAATTAAATTTTTGTTGGCTGGAAAGCTAGCAAAATTAAAAGTAATATCTTTTCATTTTCGTTATTAGTTTACACAACGTCGCGCATCATTTTCCATTTTTTAAAATTAAATATTAAAAAACTAAATTTTAGTAAAAGAAAATAACATAGAAACGCAATATTTAAAGTGTAATAACCTTTAGTTTAACACATGTCAGTCCCCCCCCCCGAAAATGCCAAAAACATAGAAAAAAACATTTGTTTTATTTGTTATATTTTGGCTATTTATATAGATATATTAAATAATTAACTTTGAATTACAGAAAGAGTTTACAATATCAATAGTTTATGTTTATAATGATTTACATTATCATGATCCAATTTACTTTTTTGAATCAAATATCGACTTTCAGTCTTCTTTTATAGATCTTTTGAAAATATTTGATTCATTAACTAGTTATTAAACTCATTAAATTCAACCTTTCATAGAAATTTATCCCCTATTTTTGAGTTTTAAGTTATCCGTTATACTTGATCACGAATAGTCAATCTATCTTTCATACTCTTCTTCGTATAATATTTAAATTGCTACATACAAATTACCTCATTCAATATAGGCAGATGATATTGTTTTGTCTAAAATACAAATCAACTTGCAAACGAAAATTATTTTATCACTTTTACTTATAAAATTGATTGAGGATTAATGTTAACAAATCAAAGACTAGTATTTCGATGTAGTGATCATTTAAGAAATTCGATTTTTGGGGAGGACCAAATTGAAATTGCTGACCAATATAAGTACTGTAGATGGGAATTAGAAATATATTTCATAATACTTTATCATTTAACCTTTATTCAAATAATTTTTCATTCCAATTAGATGAATAACAATCGCTTCTAAAAATAAGAAATATAACCTAAATATAACTGTTTTTTTTCTTTTCTATGTTTAAACAGTTGTTTTTATTCTGCACCAATTTGCCCTACAAAATTTTTAAATAAAGTTGAGACGATTCAAATCCTATTTTTAAAAGTGGTTTTGTGGTAGTGTAACATTGCCCGATTTAATCCTGTATTTATCTGTTATCCTACATAAATCTTATTACTCTGTATAGGCCGCATATAAGTTTGTGGTGAATGCAAAACAGTATACAAAAGGTCAAGAGCGAATTAGTGTCTCGATCTTCTATTCTTGCTATNAAGGCTACAAATTAGAATCTTTCAATGCTATATTGTGTAAATCGATTTGCATTATATCTAATTTATGTTATATTATTTAATGTTTAAGTAAATTACTATATTATAATTGTATCCATCTCTGCTGTAGGATTATTCTTAATCGTTCAAAGTATAGATTTTTAAATAAATTTTTTTATTTATATTTTTAACGTTACAGAATCCTGAAATTATAAAATTCAATTTAAGATATAAAAAAGAAGTATCTTAAATGAAAGAAAATAAATTATAAAGTTAATTTTTAGCTTAAATATTTTATCTCTGGTTGATAATAAATACAGAATATTATTTTTACATTTTTAACAATTGAAAATATCGATTAAATGCTTTTAAAAGCTACACGAATTTAAAACGTTATTAAGCCATTATCGAATTAAGAGTATTAATTTTTGGTATGTTTTGTAAGAAATAAAATATTACACGTCCTATCTATGTCATAAGTGATATTTTGATGTTATAGAACGACCGCTAATTAATTTTCTGATCGACATACTTGCAAAAGGTAATTAATTTCTGAGAGCAGAGCAGATGTTCATTTGATTTCTGCACTTTGACATTTACGATTGATTCTAAGCTTTACTTTATAGCAATTTATGACACTTTATTTTTATTGAAATTTGTTTAATTACAACACTTTGACAGCTCACATTCATAAAAGAAATATATTATAATATTTAAATTTTAATTTCACTGTATATTTCATAAATTATTAATTTTATATCCAATTTTACATAATGAATATCTTCTTCCAATTTTAAAGAATTATTTATTAAAATACTATAAAATGGAAAATATTTTAGTCAATAATCTTGTATGGAGAACGATATAAAATTTATTTTTAAAGCTTTTTATTTAACTCAAAATAATAATAATAATTAAAAAAATGAGTCGTGATCATAGATTTCCACTTCTTTTAGAGGGAAGGAAAAAGGAAGAAAAAAGAAAATTAATGGTTCTCAGCAGATAATTTCCAAGAATGTTCATGAGAGGTAATTACTAAAGCTTTTAACTGGTACTCCAATTACTTTAGTTCCTATAGGTTAAAGATTTATATACTGAAATATAATTACAAATAAAATAAAGGTTTTCTCCTGTTGACGCTGCTTATCTTCGAATTTTTAAAATAAGTATAAATTGAATACAGGGAAAAAAATTCATTTAAAAATAAAAAAAATCGATTATATAAAAAGTGTTATTTTATTTTTATTTAAAGTTTACTTAAATATATTAAAAATGAAAAATTTTTTTTTCGTAAATAGAGAAAAAGTTACTTCTTTTCATATGAAAAGATACGAAACATTATCCCTTAGGATTGAAGTACAGATGATAAAATATTTCAACCCATTCAGAATATGAATTCTTTTTCCATATTAAAGAAAAAAAAAGGATATTTTTTCTTCTTTTTCTTTCAAAAAATTTTTTTAAAAAACTTATTTTACATTTTTTATTACTTAAAAAAATAAGGGAAAAAATGGTTCACGAATTTAAGTTTAAACTCAAACAATTCATAAAAGTTGTTATTAAAATAATTTAATAATTGTTTATAAATAATCTACGTTCATTTAATTTTATTTGTAGAAATCGATAATTCGTAAAGTTATCTTATAATTCTAAATTTTGAAGTAACATTAATTAGTTTCGTTACTTAATAATGTTAATTTTCATATAATAATAATAATAATAATAATACGAACTTTCTGAATAACCAAAGTTTAAAATTAAGTATTAAATAGTTTTTTGGTTTATTATTAATTAATTTCGATCAAATGTGACCTTTTTATATGTAGGAAATTGTTAAGAATTAAAAAAAAACAGTAGATATAAGTGAACGATTTTTTTAAAGAAGAAACAATATATTCACTTTTTAATTAAATTTTTGTTGGCTGGAAAGCTAGCAAAATTAAAAGTAATATCTTTTCATTTTCGTTATTAGTTTACACAACGTCGCGCATCATTTTCCATTTTTTAAAATTAAATATTAAAAAAATAAATTTTAGTAAAAGAAAATAACATAGAAACGCAATATTTAAAGTGTAATAACCTTTAGTTTAACACATGTCAGTCCCCCCCCCCGAAAATGCCAAAAACATAGAAAAAAACATTTGTTTTATTTGTTATATTTTGGCTATTTATATAGATATATTAAATAATTAACTTTGAATTACAGAAAGAGTTTACAATATCAATAGTTTATGTTTATAATGATTTACATTATCATGATCCAATTTACTTTTTTGAATCAAATATCGACTTTCAGTCTTCTTTTATAGATCTTTTGAAAATATTTGATTCATTAACTAGTTATTAAACTCATTAAATTCAACCTTTCATAGAAATTTATCCCCTATTTTTGAGTTTTAAGTTATCCGTTATACTTGATCACGAATAGTCAATCTATCTTTCATACTCTTCTTCGTATAATATTTAAATTGCTACATACAAATTACCTCATTCAATATAGGCAGATGATATTGTTTTGTCTAAAATACAAATCAACTTGCAAACGAAAATTATTTTATCACTTTTACTTATAAAATTGATTGAGGATTAATGTTAACAAATCAAAGACTAGTATTTCGATGTAGTGATCATTTAAGAAATTCGATTTTTGGGGAGGACCAAATTGAAATTGCTGACCAATATAAGTACTGTAGATGGGAATTAGAAATATATTTCATAATACTTTATCATTTAACCTTTATTCAAATAATTTTTCATTCCAATTAGATGAATAACAATCGCTTCTAAAAATAAGAAATATAACCTAAATATAACTGTTTTTTTTCTTTTCTATGTTTAAACAGTTGTTTTTATTCTGCACCAATTTGCCCTACAAAATTTTTAAATAAAGTTGAGACGATTCAAATCCTATTTTTAAAAGTGGTTTTGTGGTAGTGTAACATTGCCCGATTTAATCCTGTTTATCTGTTATCCTACATAAATCTTATTACTCTGTATAGGCCGCATATAAGCTTGTGGTGAATGCAAAACAGTATACAAAAGGTCAAGAGCGAATTAGTGTCTCGATCTTCTATTCTTGCTATTCATTGTTCTTTAAATTCTATGTTTTTATTTTAATTTGTATTATGAAACTATATTTTTAAATTCAATTCGATACATATCGTACTCGGTTCTTGATATTCTTTACTAAGGGTTGGAAATAAAGAATTTATCTTATTATAGCAGACATTCAATTTTGGTCTAAAGTATTAAAAATATAGTTTCATAATACAAATTAAAATTTAAATATATATATATAGAATTTAAAAGATATTAAATAGCAAAAATCGAGACACTAATTCGCTCTTGACCTATATATATATATATATTGCACATTCTTTTATCTTATAAATATTTCAAGATTTAAGAAAAAATGTTTTTGGATTTGTGTGTGTTCTTTTACTACTTCCAGTCATTATTTATTGTGACGTCGTCACAATATCGAACTGCAATTTTTAATCATATTCTTAATTTTATATTTAATTTAAAATATATGTTCTCCATCTCAAATTAGTATTGTGTTTTGTGGGGTAATGTTTGAATTGAAATCACATGACTACTGGTTTAGGTTGAAAGTTTCCATATTAAGTTAAGGTCTCCTATCCCTAAGTTTTCCACATCCTGTCTTGACCTTCATATATCTAACACCATTCTCGGGAATAAGGAAGGATAGACAACAGACAGTGGAAATCTATCAATCTTCAAAATTTTCAAATTTTACCCCTATAAGAAGTCTCTCTAAGACTACCATTACATTTTACTTAAACTCTCTTATATAGGTGAAAAATTTCCTATATCAATAAAGAATAGATTGATTGATAATTATCTTCAATTATTTTAAGTAATTTAATAATGCATTTAATTATTCAACATTGGATTTTACTTTCATTTTAATTATTAAAATAAATATTTATTATATTAATATAATATCTATTATCCAATACTAACAAGTAAGTATCAGGTTTAATCATATCAATAACTCAAATTTTTGCTATTAAATAGCTTTTATTTATTTTTATAGTAATAATAGAATAATGTTAAGGGAAAAATAATAATTTCTGTTCTGTATTTAACTTTTAAAATGTAGTAATTTTATTTATTAAATTATTAAATGTTAATTCCAAGATACAAATAAGAAAAGACTCAATTGAATGAATGTAATTTTATATAAAGTTATGAGAAAATTTGCTAATTGTATATTTACTAATATTAAATCATTTCAAATATTAAATTTTAAACATGAATCTGATGTTTAAGAATATGATACATGTTTGTAGACATTAAGAATTTAATTTTGCAAAGTTGATCCCTGAAAATGTTGATCCTTGATTCGTGATTTTTTTTATACATTAATATATGATTAAATATTAGCTGATAACATTTAAAAATTTTTGGTGGATTTAATTTGATAAGACTATGTCAATTAAATAACTTATAATGTGTTTAAAGACACTACAATTGGTTTTAACTGGTCAATGCTATTAAACACATTACTAATTATTTTACGTTTCTTGTCAGCATGTAATATGATATTCAGTGTAATAATGTCAGAATGTATTAGAAAAGCTTCTTGTTAGACGAGATAACTTAAGTAAATCAATAAGATTGTTCAACTAGAAATAACCCAGACGACATCTGTCCTCCATAATTTGTCTTCTGAACCCATTACAGTGAGTAAATATAATTGAGGATATTCTCTGTTATCTTCAATCATCAGTTAATTTTCTATGTTCTATACTAATATAAAATTAATTACTTAGTTACTTAAATACATATTTTATATTTAAATCTAGACTTAGAAAAGTAGAAGTTTTTGTATATGTATACACAAAATTTTAACTCAATATTTATTTTATTATAAATTATTACTATCCTTTCGTAAATAAATATTTTTATATATTAAATATTAATGTTAGAAAATTAATTATACTCAAAATAATACTTCTTGTTTATATTAAATATAAATTCATCAAAAATTTTGAATTAAAGCCACTCTTATGGCGTGTAATTCGAATATGTACGAACTTTTATAGTACGGTCGACCCCCCTGTAACACTGTTGATTATTCCGTTTTATATGAATTCCATGTTGTACGAGTCATTTAGATTTTACAAATACGTGAGCCGTTTACAGCCCGGCGTACGTATTTGTAAAATCTAAGTGACTCGTACAACATGGAATTCATATAAAACGGAATAATCAACAGTGTTATAGTGGGGGTTGACCGTATTAATTACATTTAATTAGTTATGATGAACTAATATTAACATCCTCCAACCTTTATAGAGTTTAATTATAATAATTTATAATTAGAACAACTTATTCTATATTTATTTTGAAAAATTAATAATTAAACTTTTAAATTATTGTCAAATTCTCTGTGTTGTTATTCACTTTTCTTCGAAAATTTAATTTGAAATATGACTTAAAAGTTTGATAAATCTTCATAATGTAAAATACTGTTTCTTAATTATTTTTATCACTTCTATAATTTCTTATAATTCTGAAAAGCAGAGATTTACTTTATTCTACAATATTACTTTATGTAAATTTTGAACTTTGTTCTGTTTATTTACAATTACTGAAAGTTCTGTTATAATATCAAGCTAAATGCCAATGCAGTAAGATGTAAAAATTACAATTATAAAATATTCGGATAAGATCAGTTTAGAACTCTAAATAGAACTCTTCATCTTTCGCCTATGTTGTTTGATTATACATATAGGACCACTCTTGTTCGTAATGGTGAAATTATAGCCGAGTATACAGATTATATAGGTTGGAACTTCGCGTTAACAAATCAATCAATATAATTCAACTACGCTATGAATTTAATTAACATTTTTCTTCAGTATACTAAATTTTTTTTTATCTTGCTCTTTGAATAAATCATTGTACAGATGGAAATCGCTTTCATGCAATTTTTAGGAATTTTTGCTTCAAAAAATTTGAGACAGAAATTTTTTCAAAGAGGCATAAAAAATGGAAG